TATGAAGATCTTTGAAATAAGGTGAATTCAATGCATTCTACTAACTCTCGGCTCTCTGGCTTTCTGCTATCAACTTATTATTTTCAATTAGTAAAGTATGCATAAAAAAAACACACTTTTCACGATGAATGCAGGGTGTTTTAACAATGAAAGTCATTTTTTTCATATGAGTCTTCATATGATCGCCATTACACCTAGAATACAGTTGTCACGCCATGAAGTAGTGTGCTAGGCACGTGTGTCGATGCAAAAGTTATTGATTCTTTACCTTAAATCGGTGATGCACTTATGTTTATATAATCATATCGTTTTGGAGAACCACATGAAGAAAGATATTTGAAAAAGAAATTGTGTGGTAATCTTGAATTGAGCATTATGACTGAAAATTATATTTGTAACTGAAACATTGATCCATAGCTTGTTTTTTACGAGCTATTAAACTCCGTTTACAGTTGTAATAATTTCACAAGGATTAAACTGATCGTTTCACGGTCCTCTTAAAAGCAGGTTAGTTGCCTGAGTGTAAAACATCAGCTTAGTAGCAGCACTATTATCATCTCTGTCAACAGAGTCTTTTACAATGAATTACTGTAGGTAATCCCACCAGTCATTATAGTTACTATGATTAAAGTTGAACTTTTAACCTGGAGCGGTTGTTAACAACTCAAAGAACAGATGGTTAAGTTTGTAAACAAGCCAAGGAAATATTCAACTATCCAACCAACAAATATTTATTGTTGAATGTGAATCATTTGAAAAAAATGTCATCTCAGCACTGTAATCCTAATAATCTGAAAAAATCCAGCATCAGATTGTAAAAGTCATCTGTTTTGAAGCGTTTTTTAACGTTGGCATGTCTTCAAGGGATTATTTACATTGACGGTAACAAGGTTCCTTCTGATTTTCGACTACTTGGTGATGGCCTATCCACTCTTGTTTTATGTATGTATGTATCATCTGGATCAACAACTTAATCATCGTCATCTGCTTGAACTAGACTTTATAAACGTGAAGTGTATACACACTGACTATGATACGGAAGCGTAATTACACTTGGTTTATCTGATCTTGAATTTTTCCCTATTTAAATTCTTCTAAATGCAAGCATCAACTAGCATGAAGAAATTATATGAAAGACTGACTTATTTATGTGTTGCTTGCATCCGTATATACTGATAACTCAGATAAGGAGTTTAGAAATCGATTGCACCAACCAATAGTAGTTGCTGGTCACATCTTGATAATTCAGTTTCTGGAACGCAATTTCACTCTCATAAGGTTGAATGCGTGGAGAATTCAGATAAAACAGACAGATTGATTTAATCATCTTAGATTTAGAAAAACTTCTTACCATTATGAATTACAATAAGTATCGATATTGATTGATATTTTAACGTCGCATACCATTATTTCATTCTATTAGTAAGTATCACAGTTTTACATATGCTGTACACCTTTACAAATAATTTTAAATCGCCCATCTCACAAGATTTTGAAGTTTGTTTCTGTTCCTATTCATTACATGAGTGTTAAATGGTAGCAAGCATTCAAAAAATAGTTATAAATCTTTGTTAGACCAGCCGTTATATGTGGAACATAATGAAGAAAATTCTCTGTATGGTTAGCTAAATAAAACCCGTGAATAAGGTGATTGACCCAAGTCTCTTATCATTGAGGATAAGGTAATGCCAGTTACAATCATTCAATGTTTTATTCTGCTATCACAATCATAAGTTTCTTATAAATAGTTTTGAAGTATGCTGTTCAATTTTCAATAGAGACAAAACTATCACAAATGTCATTGGTATAAAAAGGTTGAATAAAGTAGTTAGAAAAATTCACTCTTCATTTATTGATATAATGCATAATAAATTTGTTCTTTTTCTTATAAACGGATTACTCAAGTACTTTAATATAGTTTAATGCTAGAAAAGGTAAATCACCTGAAGGCTACTGTCAGTACGTGGTCAGGTATTACTTTGTGTTAAGACTAAGTAGGTCTTCTAACTAATATGAGTGAACCAGTTATTCCTTGTATATCGTCATATTATGCCACAATTATGCAGCACTCAGTGATCTAAGGAAACGAATGATGTTCCTTTGAAAGCCTAATAACAATATGTACCTAAGCTATTAGGTTATCAACTTCCCTAATAGATAAAACAAAATCTCTAAGATGATAGATGTATATATCAAGATCCTGTTTGTGTCTAAAAGCCAGACGAATTGATTTCAACAGATATTTCATCATTGTTCATATTTAAAAATGCATTGATCACCCATCGCTTACCATAAATTCAGAGCGGTATTAAAAATTGTCTCACAGCTGGAGATAAACATTCCAGCTGCTTGATGCTGAAATCAAAATACGCTCATTTTAAAGTGTTTCTCTACACACCATTAGATGTCTTCTGTAATGGTAGCAATCTGTCTGATTTTAAAGAAATAAATTGCCTCTTTCTCCAAAGCTGAATAGGTTCTTAAAAGTTTCTCATTATTAATGAGTTGCTTCTTAACTGTTACGTGACTGTATTTAAGCTGGTACATAAAGTATGATATTTTTCAAATAACAGTCCATATTCATATTAAGAAAGGGGTGTTCACTGGATTTTTTGCAATGCTACTCTAGCATAAATCTCAGGAAATAAAGTTCTCTCCATGTTTTTTTACTTATGACAGTGAACGAAAAGCAAATTTGTGGTAGAATGTAGTGAGCACATAGAGAAATAAGTGAAGATGAAATGCAATTAAACCACAAGGTGTAATGGGATGTTAATTTTGAATAGCATGGAGATTTAGAAGTAATAAAAGTAGAAATATCTTGTCACCAGTTATGAAAGCAAAGTTAAATCATAACTTGAAATACTATTCAGTATTCTGTGATGAGTTGGTGTACACAGTCAGTAGACTTAACCCACCTCTTACGCGTCACTTTTCACAAACTGATCTCATAAATGAATTAGTAATATTTCTCTGCTTCGGTCTAGGCATCCTACTGTTTCACAAACTTTGTGCAAAGTCTATCGGTTTATTGTCATTTCATTGTTGTTGTTTTTACATATGAACTATATTGTTTTTCTCGCCATCATCTACACATTTATCTATATATTCATCTTTTTTTTGCTCACCTTCATGACACTGAAATTATACTCCATTTGCACTATGTAAAGTCCCTAAATAAGAATGTCCTTCAGTGCGACATCTGACTCAACTGTTCAGAAATCACATGAACTGCTTAAACTGAATCCACCCAACATTCGTAACTTGATGTTAGGACTCTGGAATTGATATATGCGTATCTTATAGGCCCATATACCAACTCCTAATCAAGTGCTTCGAATAGTCTCTGCATCTGTCAGCTCAAAAATTGCATTTACAGTGCGTTTATCCCAGGACTGAGTGACATTAACAGGCTGCCTTGCTGGTGCTGGTGTCGTACCAGATGCTACTGCCAAGAAAGGCACTAAATGACTGGATTCCCTGCCAACCGTAGTTATCTATGCTACTCAGGTAAGACGTTCTATTAGCGTGAGAAGTAACTGATTAGCTTAACGACATGCCTGTACATGCTACGACTGACTGCAACCGAGATGCGATTAAGAATGAGTTTCAGGACCACTTTAGTCACCTACTCAACCAGAGAAGCTCGATAGATGTCGTAGAGATAGCTACTAACTTGTGTGTACAGGCCAAGCGTCTAGGCTTAGACAAGAAATGTTATGGTGGACAAGAGAGATTGGTTGATCTAAGGACCATCTTCTGGAGCTTCATACAGATAAAAATCTGTTTCTGGCCAATATCAACTTGTGGTGAAGTTATCTCTGTTGAATTGCATAGCGTCTTTCCTCAGCCACTTAAGCCTGAACTAATTAGATCACGTTCCCATCAGTTACAAATGATGTGGATTTATGCTGGGCTGCTGCTGTTGAAAGTCAGTCATTGCTGTAATTCTTTAAAATTTTGACATAAATTGCTAGTTATATAAGACGTTAGTTTTAGACAAGTGATCGCGAAAGAGATAAATAGGGGCACATCTGGTGTTTAGAACTGCATTTACGACAAAATATCAAAGCCCAATGAACACCAAAGCATCATCATCCTGAGCAGCGCACGTAAACAAGTACATAAGTGCATAAACAGCTCATAAAAATAAAGTACGAACAGATTAGCAGTATTTCAAAAAATATTTGTATTCCTTATAGGATTATTTAAGTTTAATGTTGTTGCTTGTATTATGCCGTCGTTGCTCGGACTGAATTAATCGGTCTCTGTCAACATATGGACTCCTGCGCGGATGCCTTGATATTGCGTGTATTTAAGCTATATATTAACAATGGATAGTGTCCAGTAGTGAAATCCAAGACGCACGTTTCGTCTTACGTGGGATGCTTCAGCTGGACTTCACTGTTAACCACTATCCATCATTAATTTCCAAACACTAGCTGAAACAGTTCGATCACTCTGAGTTACATGATATTAAACACCAGCTTCACAACATCATATTAACTATATTATAATCACAGTATCAAAGTTGCAGAGCATATAAAACTATACCCGATAGAATTTTATTATCAGTCATAGTACTGAAACCGGCCAATGAGAACGTTGTTATGCATGCATGCAAGTACTGTGCGTGAACTTATTTAATCTCCAGATAAAATGGGTTGGTTAAGCTTACTGGCTGGGCATGCCAACCATCACATACTCAATGATATAAATTAGGCAATGAGACGAAGGCCTGCAACAAATTTCCGCGTCAATGAATATTGTTCATAGGTTCAATGAACAATGGGTTGAAGTGCATAGAAAGAGTAGCTACTCTCTGTCTGCTAGACTATCAGCTTCAGCTTTTCTAGAATAAATTTATTATCTTGATGCAAAGAAGTTCCTATGAAGCCATTTGTTTAACTGGTATCAGTGGTGAAATTCATCTGAATTTTTCTTCGAGTTTTATTTTTCTTGAGAATTTTAATATTTTTGTGTCTTTTTCCTCCCTACAGGCTGTTTTACCGTATATATCTTCTTTGTATCAATGTTCCCCGAACAATTCACCAACTCGTTCTCAGTGTGATGAGATGCAATTCACATCGCTAACAGAATGGAATAGTAGTAGATCTGAGCTATCTAGGTGGTTAAATCAAATAGTCTTGTGCTTCGATGTAGCTTTCTACCCATCTGGATCACCTTCATCCGCACAAAATGATACAGAAAATCTATCTATCAACTCTACGTCGTTGCATTCAACTGCGAGTAATAAAAGTCCAAATGGTATATCGAATGATGAAATGCATAGTCAGCAGTACAACTATTCCCATCATCACCATCAATATCTACAGCATCAACAAAACCAACAGACTACACATTCAAGACACACTCAAAAGAAATCAGAGACAAGTGATCTAAGTATGTCAGGTGATTCCGATGTCGATAATGAATTGTTGATGGGGAGTAAACCTTTACAATTAAAGAAACAGAGTGTAGCAGACGATGAAGTATTTCTAAGCGATCACTCTAGACAGAATACACTTCAGTCAACAGAGAACTCTTCGCACTATCCAATTTATTCTACCATGAATCACTTGGAGGCAATATTTTGGCGCCAACTTTTGGCCAGTATTTCTTATGAAATATTAAATACTATACTTTTCACAGGTCGGTTAGTCAGTGTTGAATCATCTTTAAATTTTTCTATTTAAACTGTGAAATATAAACTTATCTTGTTGCGTTGATTTTTCTGGTTAGATATCAGTTAGAAGTGTTCTCACTGTAGGTAAGGCTGAACGTGTTATCACTCAGTTGCACAAACAGCTAGAATAAATATTCAGCAGCAAATTTCAAGACGATATTCTATTCCCTCTTTTGTTGCATAAGAGATGAATTGATTTCCGAATGCATAATCATGTTTCTGAACTGATAAATAAAACTGGTAATCAGGTAGTGATTACAGCTCGTGAAGTTATGAAGTACTGAAAGTCAGAATCTTCGAAAGTGCGTCATTAAGACTTAGAAATTCTTATTGTCAAGTTTTTCTCCGTTGCTTATTTCAGTTGTTTGAGACTTATGAACTCTTATGTAGTGGGTCTTTGCCAGTTATTCGGTGTTAAATGGACAACTGAAAGCTGAAGGTTATCTGTAGTTGATATTCTACTCGATTCTGTCAGATTATTACCATCATTTCCACACTAGTTCTTCCGAGAGATAAGTTTCTTTCCAAATAGTTTTGGTATATAGACGGAGAACACTAAAATTATACCCATCGCACAAGAAGTGGCTATTTTGGCCCGGTGACGTAGTAGATAACGCTCTGGCGTTTGAAGCGATCACCCCGAAGTCGGAATCCCGGCGGAACAACATCACTCACTTGGAGGCAGGTACATCTAGCTGACGAATTCCAAATAGGATGAATGCGCATCCTGGATTCCACTGCTAGCCACTATCCGTCTTCACTATGACTTGAACTACACAGGTATATCGAGGCATCCGCATAGGAGCCCCTATGCTGATAGAGACCGATCAATTCAGTCCAATCAAGGACGGTATAATACAAGCAAAAACACTATTGCCAACTGACTTTTGTGAAAAACCTGCTTGTTATTAAGTCTTTATTCTTCGATCAGTCAATATAGATATACTGAAGGAATCGAGAAGACAGAGACACAGGAAGAAATGTTTATTGCTGACATCTTGTACAGTAGTCACCAAGTACGGTACACCTTGCACTAAGACAGTCATTTACATAATGTGCTTCATTTCCTCTTCTACTTCTGTCTTGGTTTGTTAATACGCCCGAATTATCTTTTGCATTTCTCTGGGCAGAATCTTTACCTATTGCTGGTAATTCCCTATCATTTCTGTCGCCTCCTCAACATATGCTACCTATATCCATTCTTATCGGCAACATCCACTAAAATATGACTGAAGGAACTGTAAAAAAAGATGTCGAAACTGTTTCGAATTATAGGGAGACTTCTTGAAAACGTATATTTTGTTGAATACTTTGATAGTTTGACCTTTGATCCTGTGAATGATAGAGCTCATATCGAGGAATCTTTAGATTTCTGGCTGGCTGAAGCACCAAGCTTCTCAATATTCTTTTACATTTTTAGAATCCGTACATCCAAAGTTTGAACTTTGTGGTAAAGAAATGGTAAATCACAAAGAAATGCCAAAACTTGAGAGATCTACCTAATCCCTTCGGATGGGGAGAAGTTAATTTTGAGTTGTCGTTTTTTTCAGAGGGTATAATGTGCAATATATCTATGAGTAAAATACAAACCGTTAAAGTATAACCATTCCTCAGATCTAATCTATTCGTTTACTTCCGTGTCTAACTCTGAGTTTTGAACGATTGGTCGTCTTCTGTTTACTAATATGAAAACTATGATTTGTTGAGATTAAAATGATGCATCGTTAACCTTTGTTGCGAGCTTAATAGTTACATTGATAATGAACACTCATCGGTGTCAATGTTATACCTATAGAAGATATTATGGGATTAATTTGAAGCTCATCCTGTTTGCACATTCAGTAGACTGTTGTGAAATAAGTCTATCCACTAAACACAATAAATTAATGAAGAGTCCTTTGTAAACTTTGGCTAAGAAGATAAAAATGGCATCTTTCTCTAATGATTGAAAAGAATAATATATAATAATAATGTAATAATATAATGTAATAATAATAATATAATAATTTAAATACTCTTGAGAAATATCTTTACATCCACTGATTCTTTACGATTTTGTCTTATGTGTGTAGGTGACATCAGCTGTATTTTCAAACATTGCCTTTTGATTCAAAAGACAGTATAAGTTTTGTACTTCGATTTTGTAGAGATTATTTCTTTGTTTGGGTGTATTAAACATTGAAAGCATGTGTGCAAGCATGTATATATGTGTTGTGCTCAAATATCTTTTTCATGTACTTTCAGATTAAGCAATGCTAAAATGCACCTCATTAAATATCAGACATATCTCTCCATCAAAGAGGCAGTGCAGAAACTAGCTATCGTCTAAATATGAGACGAGAAGTATGCATTTTCGGGGTAATATTTAGTGGTTCACATATCAGCTTCATCCTTCGAAAACCATGTTTCTTTGCAGAGCATAAATCAAATTACCATGTTTCCTACTGTATTAATCAGTGAACTAAATACCAGATGGATTATCAAACAAAAATCTTCAACTATTAACTATTAGTGAGACTTATAATCCTGTGTAAATAACCACAGGGTTGCTGATAAAAAGAAATTTTCAAATTATTTTGAAAATACCATAGAATTTAAACTAAATCCAAATCTGTAAACTTATGTGGTTAACTAAACTTCATCCACAACTAATGTGCGAAGATTTCATTGCATATCAGGAGTTCCTTCAGTTAAGCATGACATTAATAAAAATAACAAATAATGAGAAAGAATAACCATGTCTGAGCACAAGCTCAGTTTTCTTTGAACAACTATTTTCTGACCGATTAATTTTCAATCAGTCAAGCTTATTCATTTCTGTGTCTGTCTGTTTATTTCTTTCTCTCTCTCTCTCTCTCTCTGTATATACATATATATATATATATATATATATATATATATATATATATATATATTCTATGGCCACAGTGATTGCATTTACTATATTCTTTGTAGCAGAAAATACATATGCAAAAATCGCAAAACAATGTGAAAGACTTGGTTAGTCTCAGCATTGGCATGTAAAAAAAGATTATTAGAGTATTGACAGGATGGAAAAAGACTTTTGAGGTTTCTCATAGTAAGCACACATTTGTAATTGATTAAAGTGAGAAAAAAAATACTAGTGTGTGATTGGGAAGTTTGTATTTATAAAAAGGCAGGGCTCAAAAAATGATGTAAACCATTCTTAATAGTTTTTTGAACATGTTCAACTTCACATAAGTGAAAACAAATCACTCATAAAGATTGTAAGAGTGAAAATTAAATTCTTTTGAAATCAATCACTTCGTTTACTTTACAGAAGCGATAACAAAATAGTTCTGAGTGAATAAGAACTTTACAAATAAATTTATTATGTTTCTGAACTTGTTGCTATTGCCATATTTCACATCGGTCAGAGAACTCCATCACTGTGTGATTAGTTAATAACTGACTTACTCAATTACACACAATGAGTGTTCACATGAAAAAGAAATAGTGGTGTATGGGTACTAAAATAGACTGACTCTAAAGGTCACCCTGACAATAACTGAAATAACTAATAAGACTATTGTATTATTGTATGAAAATCTTTAAAGGCCACCCGAGCAACTACTAAAGTAACCAATCAAATTTCCCTATTTCGGCTGTTTAGCAAATGAAGCTCGGCTGTGCTCAGCACTAACACTCGTCTAATAGAAAATCAAATAATTTTATCAGAAACTGTCAGATTTTCTTTGGAAACATCTTCATGGTTCAGTACTACTTACCATTATATCAATCAGTGCAAACTTTGTTTTTCTTGGTATATAAATCGAAATTGGTGTCAGAGTGATTAAATGGAATACCTTTACTACTTTTAATATAATTCAAACCAGAGTGTTCTCAAAACAGGATACTTTTTCCCCCACCACTCGATGCCTAAGTTATGAGTAGCAAAAGATAGTTGTATAGGATCGAAGTGTCAATTATTTTTATGTTTATCTAAGCTTTGATTAGCGGATCGTTGGGTGTTTCTGGTTCATATTGTCGTATGGAAACTTTCACCGTAGACGTCGTGTGTTCCATTACAAGTTATTATTATTAGTTTTTACTGTAAGAAGAATTAATTAATCCCTACTGTATAAATAAGATGCATTACAAAAGCAGAAATAAGCAATAATCCAAGAAAAAGTGTTATTTTGCTAAGATAGTAGTTGGAATAAAGATATACGTACACCACAGTTTTATTATGTCCATCACAAAGAGTTCGAAAAGGTTATCAACGTCCTCCTTAACTTATGGAAAAAATACAAACAACATTGAAGGAAAGTTTTGTTTTGAGGCTTAGTTCCTGCTATCTTAGCAGTTCTCATCCTTTGCTTTATTTACATACTTGAAATATGTTTTGCATCATTCTCATTTTATCTATTGCTTGTTGATTTGGTAAGTTCAGTCTTTCCTAATTGTTGGTCAAAAACTCCACTTCTATATGCAGTTATATATTTCATTAATTTAACAGTAAAACGCTCTACTAATTTCACCTTGAGGATGAAGACTGTCCCATGAAAGGTATACTGAACACATCATCTTGTCACTTAGTGAATATCATATTCAGGTGGTCAAGGAGTTAATCTTCGAGCTAATCGTAAAGCATTTTAGAGACTTGAGGTTTTTTTTAACCCCTTAGATTATTTTTCTCAGGATATTTGTGTTTATCGTACAAGTATTTGTGAAATTTCATAATGATGGTGTTTACCAACCATAATTTCATCCGCGTATCAATTAGATAATTAGTTTTGCATCAACAAAATTGCTACATTTTCCACAGTATATGTGGCCTCTTGAATGAACTATTAAACTCATAAATTTATCCGTTAATTTGCTAGGTTATGTCGGTTTGTTGTACACTAGACGTTTCAAGTGTTTAGCATTATCGGATGTGATCAGTAAAGCTATTGACTGCATGCTAAAATCCGTGATGCTATCGTAAGTGTGATTTTTTTTTGGTTTTATAGGAAATTTCTAATGCTAATCACAAACGAATACACGGGGAGAATGCAGTTTCTGTAATTCTAGTACCGGTAGTCATCATAGTATGGCTAACCACTAATCGAGAAAATAACTGACTAGAGATATGTCTAGTTAGTTAACTAATCAGACAATGCCTAGATTTACACATAAAGTGATTGATTCATCACTGTATCAACTCTAATAGTTTTTAATTCTCAGAAAGATTTTTTTCAAAACTAAAGTATTCGGGAGATACATTCCTTTGACGTGATGCTGTCTAGCGTTCTGCACAAATTTCGAATCCGCAAATCAAATGGTTGGCAGCTAAGTGTGAGGACCAATAATCATTTATTCATTCATTTGTTTTTATCTATTTAATCAACTATTGTTCTCTTTAAATAAACCATTTGTTTCCTTTTTAATCTGTGCAGGAACGATTAAAGTTGATTGGGAAACTGGCATGCAATTACTGAACGGTGTTAATTGGCTAGAAAACTGGTTAAGATCACATAAACTGGATAAGCATAGGCGTCCATTGAATATGTTGATGCAAGTAGCAAATCTGCTAGCTACGCCTAGGCAAAAGCTTTTTAAAGTAAGCTCATAAATTGGTATTATTTATCATTTTTTTTAAATTGCTTAGACTTTTTTACGATGAAATAAAATATGAATATCTAAGATGGGAAGCATTCTACTCATATGACTGGATATTTTTCTCGAGAAATAGAAATTTCTCTCTTTTAGCATTAGCTAGAAGCTGTGGGTGACGAAATCTGGGTCTCAGTTGAATCTTTTCTTCATCTATGCCGGTAAATCTATCCAAGCGCAAAACACAGCATCAATTGATTCGAACCCCCAGGACCTAACCCTAGTTTCATTGACTCATAAAAACTCTCCTTTACTTTGTAAAGTATAGGTCGTTGTAAGGGCTTGTAACTCATGTTGGGTTACATTCAGAACTGAAATGATTATTAACATAAATACTGGAACCTACAGTGAGAAAGGTGTATCCTCATGACAAGTCCCAAACTGAAAGAAACATGTGTCCTGGCTTCTACTGCTAAGCACCACTAAAAAGTATCAAGATCTATTCGTAAGCACTGCTGATATCTTTATATGTCAAACCTATATATAGTAATAACTTGAATTTTATTTCTGTAAAGAAAAAACCATTTTGAGGTTTCATTGGTAACAAATGAAACTTCTCCTTACAACCCAGCCAGTTATTTAACTAACATTCACATAGGCTTCTACAACAGAGTTCTTTTCCTAAGTTAAACTTGAGAACTAGTATCGTGTTAACACTTTATTCACACTTTTTTGTATGCTAACTGTTCTTTTTAAACACTTTACCATCCATCAAACTATCATTGAAACTGTGATACAAGATAAGTAGAAACAGGAGTTGAGTGTTATTGTGGAATTCTCATTTTTTGTGACGGAAGTAATAGTTGGCACAATGTTTAGTGAAAGCTATCTGGCTCATTTTATTTTCTATATGCGTCTGTGCATATATCAAACACAGTGTAGTTATTCGCCTATCTACATGATTTTATACCTAAACTTCATACGAAGTGTTTCAATGCTTCATTTAAAGTTGCGCTTTGACTGAAACACCAAAGCTTGAAGTAATAAATACAAAATTTACTCCATTTATGATTTAACTATATTGGCTTGAAATTGTAAATTTTTATGTAGCCGATTTGTGAGGTGTATTTTGAACGATCGTATCACAAATTCATTTATCAAGATATTTTAGGTCAAAAATGGAAATTGAAGAAGCTCAAGTTTAATGAATATGGGGGCTGGAGATATATGAAGTTTAACAGAGGAAGATATGAGAGACATTATTGCTAGGAATTCACTGTAAGGACGAATCCTCTCCATGCACACAAACGCGGCTTAAATTTGAGTATCACAAGCATTTAAGCAAATAAGGGTATACTTATTTGAAAGTTTCTGTGTAAATTATTTAAGACTGTTTCAATATCAGTCCTATACTGTGATATATACTCGAATGGCAGTAAAAGTAGTTTGATTGTCAAACAATCATAAATGTACATGATAGACACTCATGTTTATCCATCATACAGCCTATCATTCATAACGTCACAAGTTGATTCTAAAACTTATTCTTCTCCTTATATAACCATTGTTTATTCTTTACCTACCTTAGTTATAACTTGGTTTGCAACCTTTTTCAGTATAGTTTGTCAGTTCAAAACTAGTTTCCACAAATCAACATTTTTTGCATAAGCAAGCAATGACAAGGAAGACTGAAACTCTACTAAAATGGAATTAAGGACCAAATCCTATCATAGCTCTGAATCTAAAATGGAATGAAATCCCAAATGAATATCCGGAAATTGCTTTTAGTTCATGTAAAAATATTTTTACAAAATAGGTAGTGTCAATTTGAAATTTTGAACTTAGAACTCACTGCCAATATGTATGTGGTGGTATACACAATCCTGTGAAAAGTTTTAATGAGTTGGAAGTAAATAGATACGGGGACACACATTTGAACTCAATTTAGGCAACTAATGGTTAAGACAGTTCAACCCATGGAAAATTACCAGCAACTTACAGCGAAACAAGACATAGTCATTGAATCACCCTCTATTAAGCTGACACTGAATGTAATCAAAAGTCTAGGAGTGGATTGTTCATAATATTCTTGTTAAGAAACTACAATATGTTAAAGATATATGACTAACTGGAAAACAAAGTGTACTAAGATTGAATAAATTCATTAGTTACCATATAATATGTTGTTTAATCACATGGTAGTTTCAGGGTGGTAGCAGCATTCACTAATTCAGCTAAGTTCATTTACGTATTACACATCAATGGCTCATCACTTTATTGATTACATAACAAACTGAATCTGAAAACTTTGATAAGCACTTATTAGAATGCTATATGGGTTCCAGAATGAGATCTCTGAACCTGAATCAACAGTGTAGCACTAAATGAACTACTACCTACTTGCCTTAAAATTGAAATACCTCAGAGAGCTAATCTTTGAAACTGCCCAACTCATTAACTTTCAATTGTTACATGAAATCAAAAATCACTGCATGACATTAATAAAACAGAATTTGTTTACTTGAACTACCTAGACATAATATTTTTCAGTTTTAATAAGTGTATAACTGCACTCATTGATCGTCTATCAATAAGAATTAAAAATCTCACTATTCTCATCCATATTTATATGCTTATCATTGTTCTAATCTATTGATCTTCATCTCCAGGGTGTAATAGATCAGATTTCAGGTTATCAGTAGATATTCGTCAAGCCATTAACCATTGTTCTCAACAATGAGTGGGAACTCTTGGTGTTTGCGCAGTATGCGAAAGGGATTATTCAAGACTTTGAGATGCACTTCTTAAGTCTGATAACAGCAGCTGCAATGAATCAGTAACTTGCTTTTACTTCTACATTGTAACATGCTCTCTGTATTATTTTCATCCTCTTTCATAATTTGTCATCTAGTTTTAAACGACTGATCATATCGCTTTTTTGACTTTTTTGTTCTTCCTCATGTTGACTTTTTCTCTCTACATTGATGTGAGGTTTTGTGGATTTTGACTGTAGCTTATTTTACTAGTTAGTGTCTAAGGAATTGACGTTTACCTGGAGACTAGAGATACTTTAGCTCAAAATAGACGATATTAGCCAACAGAGACATAAGCCTATGTCCCTCCTCATCTTTAGCACCATATTACGCTATCTGTGTGTCTACTCTTCATCCATAGCTTTCTTTGTACTATTTTGCTACTTTTCTGCTTACCTTGATTTTCTCCTTTTATCCTGTTTAGGCAGCAAATCGAATAAGTTAATTTTTATTTGAGGCTCTACATTGTTGTATCTGCTTGTCCGTTTGGCTATCGCTTAAGAAAACTTATTGAGGGTGTGGTCTGTCACTGGATATCATATGAAATAAGATACACTTTTCTGTCATTCTTATCATATATTTTATTTGTTAAATCTATTTTCACACATTCTAGTCATTTTACGTGATACTAGCAAAAGTTTTCTATAAACATACACCATCATTATTTTTCACGGCATTCTATTTCAGTTCAGTGTAATTAAAGTATCTTTTTTTACATATTTTTTATTCGATAAGTCACAGTAGGCTACTCATATGCTGTTGAAGAATCTGCAGCTGACACAGAGAAACATTTAGAAATATCTTGTTTTGACTTTCCAAACATGTTGGCCGGAAACCCGGTGGTCTATGGTTCGAATCCGGCAGTGGTCCAAATTTACATTTCACCTCCAGTCATCACTCATTATAAATATTCTTATAATGATTAAATCAGACTCGGTGCTTAGTTTCTTGCTGAATAGTCTTAACAACTATGATCTGGATATCTATGCTCTTTGTATATTAGGGTTATGTAGTAGTTCGAGGTCATTGGCCACCAAGTTTAATTACGATATTCCTTATTTACTATAGACAAATGGATGGCATCATCGGTTTTCGAGAAAAATACTGCTCTCAACTTATTTCATGGCTGATCATAACTACCAGACTAGGTTTATGTCCATTTGCTTGATATTGAGATTGTTTGTCCACAGCACACTTTCAACATTAAGCTAGAAACAATCTGAAGGATAAGCTGTTGGATGTGCTACTTCCTAAGATCTTCAGGTACATATATGTCTACACCCAAGGTAAAGATAAGTTCTTCAAATACTTATCTTTATCATGAATGTAGACATAAATGTTTATGCAGTTAGTGTCCATAAACAGTGAGCGAAATTTTCTACACAAAGCCCTATGAAGCGCTAGGAAGGTACCTGTTATATTCCTGCCTTGACTGATGCTATTCGTCTTAACCTCGGTTTGGGTTTTGAGTTGGATCCTATGATTAACAGACTGAGGGTAATGCCCAGCGCTGGTCCAAACTTGTGTCATGCATGAGTTACTGTGTGCTAGTTGATCATACAACCACTAAAGGCATGCAAGCTGACTTAGAGAGAAAACAAAGTTAGACTGCTAACCCATACAATGTACAATTATATTCTATATTCTAGTTATATTCGAGGCCTTAAAAGTGTAGGCAGCCTAACCAGGATGTTAGTGAATGAGAACGAGATAGACCTTGAAGGATATTCGTAACTAATTGGTTGTTGACTTCATCCTTTCCGAGTACGGATACAGAAGCATCATATGAGAAATATTAACGTACAGAGTGACAGTTCAATCCAAACATCTTTGGTCTCAACTAAGTGTAAAGTTACTCCTTGTTTTGTTGGTATTAACCTAGGGGTGATCGTTATTTTGGGGGAAAATACCGAGGTGCATAAAGAATAGGAATGAAATTACTAGGTAGGCTAAACATAAGTTGAAAAAGAAGATTTGAAACAGTGTTTGAGAAAAAGGCGGTTTAGAGCGCGGATTGAAAAGTGTGAATAGTGGGTTGATTGTTGAGATTTTAAGTAGCATTACGTTGTCAAACTTTAGTGGTTGTCTTCTTGGTAGTCGAATTAATAGGTTGCAACCACTTAACATTTTCACGGTAATTATGCATGAGTTTTTGTTTGACTGATATCAAGCAAGTTGTTTACTGAGTATATTT